GGTTTCAGAATAGAATCCAAATTAAATAAAGAAATATATAAAATAATAATAAAAGAAAATATAGAAGGAAATCAAAAACAAAAAGCAGAGGAAGGTCCTTGTAAACCATTACACAAAGTTATATTTTTTATATAATATATTTAAGACTTCTATTAAATGTGTATTGTTTCTGAGTAGAAAGTTTATTTTTGGGAATTCCATTATTATTTCTTTTTGTAGGTCAATAGGATTCTCAGATAAAGGGTATTTGGTTAATTTGAATTTATAAAAGTATTTTATACATTGTCTAGTGAATTAGTTATAGTTAAATTCTATTTTATTAGGCCATTTATATGGTAATAGAATAAAGCTAATTATGTATATGATGAGTTGGACTATGTTTCTCCTTCACCAGTTTTTAGAGAAATCTATATTATATAAATAGCACCACATAATTCTTGTTCTTAAATGGTCTTGTAACTTATTATGGAGTTATGAGAAGATAGTTTCTTTACTATTTATATTGTTTTTGTCTTTAAACTGTTTAATTTCTTTTTCTAATAGAGTAAATTACTCTTTTAAATAATTGGAGCATCTTTTAAATTATTTGGTAATTTGTAAAATATAGCTTTGTCTCTGTTATATTGCAAAAAAAAGTTTTTAATCCTTCTTTTTAAATAGAAACAGTAATTTTCTCAGAGTCTGTCAAGTAATTTAATAATATTAGAGCATTTTTGGGTTTGATAAGATATTGTATATAATTGTGTATTGAATTGGTAGTAAGTTATAAATAGAATTTTTTAAATTATTTTCTGGGTTTTAATTTTGTGTATCGTTGTGTACTGTATTTTGAAATCTTTGTTTTTCTAAAGATGTCACATTTGTATTAATTGCATATTTGTTTTGTGTTTTCTGCATTCCAAACCAGTTTTGTATTTCATTGTCACATTACATAACTTGTTTTCTTTGTTTATCAACTAAATTATTTATCTGTTGATTACTTTTAGGAGGTAAAAACGTTATACGTTTTTGTGAAAATGCAAGAGAGTTTTCGCAAGAGGAATTAGAGAATAGAAATTGTAAAATAGAGTCTGTGTCTTTTATAATGATGGTTTCTTCTATTAAGTTGATAGTATTGAGGTATAGCTCTTGAACTTTGTAACTAAACATTTTGTTGTCCATATTGTTTGTAACCTGTTTTACTTTTTTCTGTTGTAAATAGGAAGGAATAGTATTGAATGTTTGAGTGACTGTTATAACTTTTTTTGTGTTGTAAGAGATATTTATGCTGTTGAAGTAACTAGTACTACATATTCTAGGTTGTCAATAATATGTTCAGAGAAAGTATTTTGTTCTTGTTACTCCAGGATTGTGAAAAGAAAAAACATGGGGAGCTCTTTAATTTTGAGAAATATTGTATTTTTTCAAAAAATGTCATGTTTCATAACTTTGTTTGTTTTTTGACTTTTCAAGAAGAGGACTGCTAAAGCTTTAGGTGTTGTAGTGTTTCTTTAGGAGGTGGAACTTCCATAAAAATGTTTTCGTCTCTTACGTTCATTTGTTTTTTGAATTTTGAAATTTTTGTTTTTCAATTTTTGGAAGATGTAGGAGAGAGTTTTTTTTTTAATTGATAAGTTATTAGTAAATAATAGACTTTTATATGTAACAACTTTTAATAATTAACTTTGAATTTTTTTTTTAAAAATTATCAAAGATAAAATAATTGACATTGATTTTTCTAAAAACCTGAAAATAAATATCAAAAATTGCTACATATAAAAGTTTATTATTTACTAATAAATCATCAAATATATTACTAATTAATCTTATAGCCAAGAATGAGAAATATCATTTTTGAAGTTTTTAGAATTTTCTTACAAATTGAATTTAATATCAACGGTTGAACACTAGATGTTCAAAAACTATTCTCTAGAATTAAATCATTAATTATTCCCTCAATTTTAATTAAATATATCTAGATACTTTGTATATGATGCTTTATATTCTAAGCTTTAATGTTTCTTTTCTAAAAAGTATCAATATCATTCAAAATAGTAAGAAATTAACATTAATAAGAATACGACCTAACTAGTTCACATGAAATTAATACACTAGTACAATGGGCATTCCATCCATAAGTCCCATAGCTATGAGAGTTTCCTTTATTAATCGGATATGCAGTGAACAATAATATGAAATCAAGCAAATACTTTAAAAATTTTTTCATTTGATTAGTAACTTTTTTCATTTCCTCTGAATCCCTTCACAAAAAGATCCAGAACTAGTAACTTTTTTCATTTCCTCTGAATCCCTTCACAAAAAGATCCAGAACTGCTAGTTTGTATCCCTCTTTTTGAAAAGAGAAGGTAAAGTCAACTTGCTTTGAACGAAACTTGTAGAAATCCAGAAAACAGTAGTCTTTAAGATTTGTTTCATTGAAATAAGCACACCATCTTGAAACATAACAAAAGCATGAGAAATTGAGTCGCGATCAGTTTTTTTGTTACATAAAAAAATAGTACTTTATTAAAATGGAATATCTTTTGTCATTTTCATCGTTTAAAGAGAATTGAACATTAATTTTGTTCTTGTTTTTGTTATTCTTTTATGTCCTTGATGAATAATCTCAAACATACATATTGATAAAAAAATACAATTCTTAATGGTAAAATTGGAACGAAACGGTATATTAAGATTCATTTCTTTGCTGATTAAGTTTATTTATTAATAACAATAATAATCTTCTTTACATATTATTAAATAATAATATTATGTTTAAATAAATGTTGATAACACCCTATATCTTATCTAAATACATCATAATATATTAAATTCATATAACGAATAATAAATAACATTTCTACCTCCAAACAATAATAAGCAAATATTATAATTGAATTGTTACCTAATTCTCAAACGAGAAAAGTGATTACTATATAAAATTTATGTAGCATCAATAATATAATATCACTAATGGCAAGAAACATGCAAATTTTTTTTTTGACAAGTATAGTAATTCTATTTTATTTTATTTATTTCACACATTACTATCAAGACAATACTAAATTTGCAATCATATGATTTTTTAAAAGCTTCTGCGACAAATTTATTTTCTGGACATTTTTTTTTAGAATAACATGACAATTTTTATTATTTAATTATTTAAAAATAAAATAAAAAATAATGAAATTAATTCTGAATGAATAATTACCATAAAATAATAAATTATAATATTAATAAACACTAATAAAATTTAAAATAATAAAAAATACAACTCTTAAAGGCAAAATGGTAATTGTATCTATATTAAGACATCTAATTAATTTAGCCAGTTTATATAATTATTTCTTTACAGAATTGAGACAGCTAAATGTTATAATAGGAATCATTTAATACAACAATAATAATCTCCTTAACATATAATTAAATGATATTTTATATCTTATACTGTATATCTTATGAGTAAACACACCATAATAATGTAAATTAATAAATAACATATGACGGCCAAATATTATAACTGAAAATAGTTACCTAATTCTCGAATGAGAAAAGTAATTCCGTAAATCACTTCTTTTAGAGAGAATGCTACTCCGTTATATTATTATCATTGATATTGTCTTTATTATTTTTATCATCATAATCATTAATAATATCTTGAACGGGATTCACAAATAAATCATCTCATTGATAGTTGAAGCGAAACAAGATAATTTTAATCATGATAATATGAATGGAGTCATTAAAGTCGTTGCACTTGTTAAGTATTGTATTAGAAAATTATCAGTTAATATAAAATATTTTCAGGGACGTGCGTTTATACATGATTTAATTACGGAGAAGTTAGCATTTGTGGATATTAAGTATGAGAAAAAACAACTAGGAGAAAAAAACACGCAAGTATTATTGATGGAAACAACAATGAAAACAATCATAATAATAATTATAACGATAATTTACAACGATAATTATAACGATAACGATAATGATGAGGACTTTCGAATTTACAACAAATAATAATTCAAAAGATAATAAATTATTCTAAAGATTATTATCATGAGTGTGAATGTCAATGAATCTTCCAAAAATATCAAAGATATTAAAGATATTGAAGATATTAGAAATTCCGCGGAATTATTTACTAAGATCAATTACAACAAGAGTAATGATTTTTTTCAGATTTTGAAAAATATATTTCTCAGAGATCTGACGTGTAATCGTATGTTCTGTATTGATTCGGGGTGAATAATTTGGATTGTAAAGTTTAATAATTTTAATATTTCCGATGAAGCAAAATTTATGACAAAAAAAGAATAAATAATCATCGAAGAGATTAATTTATTTATTTGAGAAATTGAATATGAATATCAAAAGTTGAAAAAAGTCATTATTATATATATTAGCATTTATTTACAGTGTAGGATTGGCATTAGTGATTTGTTGTTGACCTAATGATAAAATCAAAAATTGCTAAGATGTTAAAATTTATCTTCAAAAGGGGATAAATTTAAGTTATGTACTTACTTTGTTTGGAGAAGTCGATGTTAGTTCTTTATCATTTTCGCAAGCTCGCTTGTACCCAGACGTCGAATTATCAATCTGATTTCCTGATAATTTCTGTAAATATTATATTAGTATAGTAAACAAAATATTTTATTACCAACAATATTTCATACTAATGTTTTCAACGGTATAATTAATATTTTCAATGGCAGTCTTAAGGGTTTCTGCGGAGATGCTTATTAATGAGCTAGTACCTTCAATCTGTAATAATCTGTAATCAATAAAACAAAACACAATTAAAATAAATCCAAACTTTACTAAAATATACAAGAAAAAGCTGATTATTCAGTCCCAAAAAGCATCAAAATCGCAGATAGTTTCACTATGAGTCTCAAAATAGTAAGAAATTAACGTTAATAAAGTATGACCTAACTAGTTCACACGAAATTAGAACACCAGTACAACGGGTATCCATAAGGTGTACGGCATTCCATTGTCACCGTAGTTGTATAAGGGTTTCATTTTCCCATAGCGGGCATTCCATTCATAAGGTGAACAGCATTCCCATATCTATGAGAGCTCTCTTTGTTAATCGGATATGCAGTGAACAATAATATGAAATCAAGCAAATACCTTAAAATTTTTTTCATTTGATTAGCAACTTCTTTCATTTCCTCTGAATCCCTATTCACGAAAAGATCCAGAACTGCTAGTTTGTATGCCTCTTTTTGAAAGAGAAGGTAAAGTCAACTTGCTTCGAACGAAACTTGTAGAAATCCAGAAAACAGTAGTCTTTAGGATTTGTTTCATTGAAATAAGCACACCATCTGGTACAATTTCACCTTTAAGGATTGTATTTTTTATCAATATGTATGTTTGAGATTATTCATCAAGGACATAAAAAGAATAACAGAAACATGAACAAAAATTAATATTCAATTATCTTTTTTTTTTATGTAACACAAAACTGACCCAATTTTATTATCGAACAATATATTGATATTTAGTGGATTCATTTCTTTACTGATTAATTTAGTCAGTTTATATATTAATAACAATAATAATCTTCTTTGCAAATAATTAAATAATAATATTATGTTTAAATAAAACATCATATATCTTATCTAAATGCATCATAATATGTAAATTCATATAACGAATGATAAATAATATTTCTACCGCCAAAATAATAATAATAACGTCCAATATTATAATTGAAAATTGTTAATTATCGAACGAGAAAAAATAATGAAATATAAAATTTGTGAAACATGCAATTTTTTTTGACAAGTATATTAAGACTATTTTATTTTACTTATTTCAAAAATTACTATCAAAACTTGCAATCATATGATTTTTTTTAAAACATCTGCGACAAATTTATTTTCTGGACTTTTTTTTTTTAGAATAACATGATAATCTTTATTGTTTAATTATTTAAAAATAAAATAAAAAATGCATAACGAAATTAATTCTGAATGAACAATTACCAGAAAAATAATAAATTAAAATATTAAACATTAAATAATATTTAAAATAATAAATTACAATCTGTTTGAATAAACAAATCCTAATCTGATATTAAAATAAAAAGATAATAAAATTAAAGTAATTACACAACACAAATACAATACATATAATATTTTTATATTAAAATATAAATTTTTGATTTTTACGATGATATTTGAATAATTCATCAGATCGTGAAAGGAAGGTGTAGAGATGTAGAGGCTCGTGTAAATTACATGATAGAGCAGTAGTTGGTTGGATCACCCCCATCAGGTTTCTCGGTTGCTCCAAGAATAATAGGTCCGGAGGAATGCATAATTGAGCAATAATTTGTTGGATCACCTCCATCAGGTTTCTCGGTAACGGTGGTGGTAGTAGTAGAAGTGGCAACGATTTTTGGATTCATTTTTAATCGTGATTTTAAGTTGTTAAAACTTTAGAATACGGAGTGATTTTTTTTTTAAATATGGAATTCAATTTGTTAATAAAAGATTTTTTGTTGTTGTTGTGAAAAAAAGCTAGCAAAGAGATGATATTTATAATAATTCTGTCCTTATCAAAGTAAATGTTTGTTGGATTTACAGTAATATCATTCAAAGTCATGTTAATATTATTCAACGGTTAATAATAGTATAATAGAGTCACAATGTTTAACACGTATTACGTATTATCTATTTTAATGGGGTTGATTATTGTGACGAAAATAGAATTCTAATTAAATCTTTACCGCATATAGGAATTATTTCTTATTAAGGATGGAATGGACTATTGTCATTTAAAAAAGAATCGAATAATATTGTTCTTGTTTTTGATATTCTTTTTATGTCATTCTTGCTTGATGAATAATCTCAAATATACATATTTATAAAAAAAATACAATTCTTAAAGGTGAAATGGTAATTGTATCCATATTAAGACATAATTTAGCCAGTTTATATAATTATTTCTTTACAGAATTGAGATAGCTAAATGTTATAATAGGAATCATTTAATACAACAATAATAATCTCCTTTACATATAATTAAATGATAATATTAAGCAGAAAAATAAATGTTGATAATCATTTTATATCTTATACTGTAGTTACCTAATTCTCGAATGAGAAAAGTAATTCCGTAAATCACTTCTTTTAGAGAGAATGCTACTCCGTTACATTATTATCATTGATATTGTCTTTATTATTGTTATCATCATAATCATTAATAATATCTTGAACAGGATTCACAAATAAATCATCTTATTAATAGTTGAAGCGAAACAAGATAATTCTAATCATGATAATATAGATGGAGCCATTAAGTCGTTGCACTTTTTGATTATTGTATTAGAGAATTATCAAAGTTAATATAAAATATTTTCAGGGACGTGCGTTTATACATGATTTAATTACTGAGAAGTTAGCATTTGTGGATATTAAGTATGAGAAAAACAACTAGGAGAAAAAAACACGCAAGTATTATTGATGGAAACAACAATGAAAACAATTATAATAATAATTATAACGATAATTTACAACGATAATTATAACGATAACGATGAGGACTTTCGAATCTACAACAAATAATAATTCAAAAGATAATAAATTATTCCAAAGATTATTATCGTGAGTGTGAATGTCAATGAATCTTTCAAAGATATTAAAGATATTAAAGATATTGAAGATATTAGAAATTCCGCGGAATTTATTTACTAGGATCAATTACAACAAGAGTAATGATTTTTTTCAGATTTTGAAAAATATATTTCTCAGAGATCTGACGTGTAATCGTATGTTCTGTATTGATTCGGGGTGAATAATTTGGATTGTAAAGTTTAATAATTTTAATATTTCCGATGAAGCAAAATTTATGACAAAAAAAGAATAAATAATAATCAACGAAGAGAGTAATTTATTTATTTGAGAAATTGAATATGAATATCAAAAGTTTAAATCGAAAAAAGTTATTATTATATATATTAGCATTTATTTACAGTGTAGGATTGGCATTAGTGATTTGTTGTCAACCTAATGATAAAATCAAAAATTCCAAGATGTTAAAAGTTATCTTTAAAAGGGGATAAATTTAAGTTATGTACTTACTTTGTTTGGAGAAGTTGATGTTGGTCTTTATCATTTTCGCAAGCTCGCTTGTACCCAGACGTCGAATTATCAATCTGATTTCCTGATAATTTCTGTAAATA